AACTAATTAGAATATCTATATTGAAGTTTTAAGGGTGTAATTCTGAGTAATCTGTAGGTTTCTTCACTATTATCAAGAAGGTTGATGGCTAGAGGATTTCAGTGATTTTCTAGACGTTGAAAATGGCTTAAGCTGCTTATTTCGATTCTTTCAAATACTTTGGCACTTTTAGGTCTCATGATACATGACAGTTTTCCGAAATTCGGGTGCCGTCTATGCCGATTTCCCCGATTACGGTTAAAATTCCGTAAATGAATGGACAAACACAAGCGAGCGTGGCTTCAACTCTATGTGGAAAGCTCTGATGGTCGAAACCTGCCGCTTCTGGCTTTTTGTGAAGAGTTCGGCCCTCTTGAGCCCCTGTAGCGCCACGTGGGCGCGCCGGTCAGGCGAAGGCGATCAATCGATGGACCGTGCGCTAGACAATGTGTTGGACCAGTACAATTATAGAAGAGTCTAAATGAATTGGTTTGACTTCTCGAAGAAATAATCGCGCTCTATATTATGTTATCGGTTAGGCACCGACTTGAGAAAAATTAAATTTTTCGAAATATTTTACCAACAATATATCTTTTTTCCGTAATATACGAGAATTTCTTCCTCTACTAATAAAAAAATGTAAATTTGATCTACTGGAAAATCTTCTCTATTCATAGGGGTGTTCCTCCGTCAACATGTGATAGAAACCTTTACATAGCGAAGCTACATATGTGCCGATTACCCCTGATCGGTAGGCAACTAATTTTGCATTGTTGTTCGCCGAGTTCGCGAATTCCCTTAGACAACGCCCGAACGTGACCCGCATAACACCCGTGCATAATAACTTGCTTACAAATTGTCCAATTGATTGATTAGTGTTTCCTAACGCGTCAATTGCTAAGGTCATTAGTCCAGCAAGTGTAGTACATGTATTTTCGTCGAGAGGTTGAGTAAATCTTTCCCCGCTGGATGGCTGGAATGTGAGATCCGTCACCGATCTTCCGTCGACTAACGGGTGTCCTGTGTAACTTTAATAACTTGTCACATTATTTAGACGACGTATGGCTGGTCGCGGCTCAGGGCATCGGTTGATGTCACTGCAGTGCCTCTGACCGGGAGATAGATAGATAGATTTATTATTTCTGCAAGTAGGTATACAACCTGGTTGTAGAACACTACAATTTACATATTACAACTAAGAATAGTAATACACTGTAATTTTAAAGCATTTTAAGCCAATAATAACAATAATATAACAATAATAACAATAACAGCATTACCTATACACTTTATGACTGTCATGCACGGAATTTTTAACTAATAAATACAGTGCACTTCACTTCACTACACTTCACTTCTCTTCACTTCACTACACTTGCACTTCGCTTCTCTCTCTACTTCTCTATTGCACTACACTTCACAACACGTCACGACAATTCTCTCTCCAATTCAACTACTACTTTAAATATAATTGTATATTTAATAACCCAATGCATTTGATAGTGATTATCACAATACTACTAATAATAAAAAATAACAATTATAAAAAAAATATAATTAAAATAGTAACTATTTTAATAAGCATAACTTATAAAAATGTCATTAGTTAATCTACTTTTAAAACTTATGTATACCGAGAGGAAAGGTTTCCATGGCTGTCGCAGGTAACTTATTCCTGTCCATTATTGTTCTATTTGGAAATGAAAATTGTCCAACATCTGTTCCCTGTGTCCTGAACTGAATTCTGCGCTTGTGATCCGTTCTACTAAAGTAAGTAGTCGAATGAAAATATTTTTCCAAGCTGGATAACTGGCATACGCTTTGTAGATGGCACAGAGTCTTGCCTTAACCCTCCTTATTTCTAGAGACTCCCATTCTACTTTCTTTCTATTGCTGCGGAAAGTAAGTTTACACGCTCTCCTCTGTGTTCTATTCAACCATTCCTTTTGTGAATTTCTATAAGGGTCCCAACAAATTGCCCCGTATTCCATTAATGGACGAACTAAAGATAGGTAAGCTAATTCTCCCGCTTTCGCAGTACGACCAGTAAGACCTCCAGGTTTTCCCTACGACAAAGTTTACCTGATTTTCCCAATTTAATTTAATTTAGTCCTAGGGTTTAATTAAATTCTAGGGTTCCAGTCCTGATGGTGGCAGGATTATCGTCATCAGCTAGATAGCTTGGCCAAGTTCAGCCGCTGTCTGAAGAACTATAGTGAATTGAATTGAATTTGCCTTATTTTACGTGGCGAGACTCGGGCCATCAGGCCCGCTCTTCCGTCTGACCACACAAATTTTGCTACGCTCCTTTCACCAACTAGCAGAGAAAGGAGGTATTTCTTGGGCGAGAAACATGCGATTTGAATTTAGCTCAGAGGCGTCATTTAGGCTTGAGGATCTTTTACATGCAAGTAAATCTACGAACATGGGACAGCCGGCTTTACTTCCCCTCCGAAGGAAGGCGTACGAAGGATTTTTTCGCCCTTAAAAATCCACGGCTTCGATCGGGTTTGAACCTGGGTACAACAGTTCGGTACGCTAACCGTTACACCATCGCCGCCGCCAAATAGTGGCAAGCTGATTCTGTTTTCCGTGTTTCTCCAATCGATACTAGGCGGACGGCGGAACAGTACCCTAACAAACGCGCCACGGACCGCGAGTGGTCTCTGCTTCCTCTTTCTTGTCCTATTCTCACCCTTCACACACACACACACACACACACACACACACACACACACACACTTACATGCACTACACTACGACACGTGTCGGAAGACCAGTTGGGAGCATAGAACGTGCCCAGCTGCGACGGTGCCCTACTGGTGGGAGAAACCTAGATGAGAAAACCCAGAAAGCCGACGGTGGATCTAATCCTGCAGCTCGAGAAGAACACAGCCATCTTTCGTGGCAAAACATTCATCACACTTAAGGGTCTAATGACTACACTAGTTAACGCGCCCGGACACATAAAATAATAAATTAATCAATATGACTTGGTGACCAAATCGGTCACATCATGACGTGAAAAGGAAAGGCTTTCCTCTCCCGTTATGATGAGACACCTCTGGCTTGGCCTTTGTCTCACTTTTATTTTTTCGAATGATTGTGGCACTTTTTTGGTCTTTTACTTAAAAAGTAGATTGTTTTAAATATTTTAATTAAGGCTTGAACATTTCGTATGCGGTAAAACAGCATAACACATATTGATGGTTGTTGATGTCGTAAGCCTGTTTCCACGTGATGTGTCCAGTTAGGTTACGAGACGTCATGTGTTGTAATGTGACAAGTTAATAAAGTTTCATTTTATAGAATAAATTTAATTTTGATTTTAAAAAAAGTAAAGGATGCCGCTGATCAAAAGTTGCGTTCTGTTATGAAGGAATTTTTAGTTTTAAACAATTATTACAAAGTGTTGAGTTTTTACGCGGGTCAGGTTAGAAAGAAATTAAGGCACTTAAAGTGATTCACAGAATTTAACAATTTCCTGACATAAATCTGTTTTGTCGAGATTTAGAAGCGCCACATAAAATTCAAACACGTCAGTCACATTCATAGAACAGTTAGAACACGTACTAATTGTGCAGTTAAACGTTTTGAACCAGAACCTTAAGAGGGAAATAACGAGAACATGTATTTGAAATTTTTCATTTTGTTTTTCCAGGTGCTATGTTAATGGCCATGTGTATTGTCGGCCTTTCTCAGAAAGAGACGAGGGACTTGACTCAAGGAATAATCAACTCAGGTAAAGTGAAAATTTATCTTCGTAAGTATGTAGTTATCTAAGATGGTTCTCTTCTCATCAGTGTGATGTAATATTGATAAAATAATTCTACTATGGCATTTTTATGATCTTAGAAGATCGATCTGACTTTCCTAAAGTCATTGCTGTAAATTGTATATAGGAAAGCAATGATTGTGCAGGAGATACAACAACGTTATTCCTGTATCTCTTGGAATTTTTTATTAAGTACTGACGAATAAAAAAGAAATTGCCCTCACGATTTAGCTCATTGGCATAACGATGAGCAATCCCATACTAAGGTTAAGAAGAGCAGTGTATACGATGAAGGGATGTCTTCATGCTAACCACACGGATGGCCGAGAAGCTGGGTCACCGCTAGTCGGCCAAGGCCCTTAGCGAGGTGTCGAGTCAAAGGGACACGCGGGAAGGGACACGCGGGAAGGGACACGCGGGAAGGGACACGCGGGAAGGGACACGCAGGAAGGGACACGCAGAAAGGAACATGCGGTAAGGGACATGCGGGAAGGGACATGCGGGAAGGGACATGCGGGAAGGGACATGAGGGAAGGGACATTCGGGAAGGGACATTCGGGAAGGGACATTCGGGAAGGGACATGCGGGAAAGGACATGAAGGAAATGACATGCGGGATGGGACATGTGGGAAGGGAAAGGACGGGCGGAAAGGGACACGCGGGAAAGATCACGAGCGAATGGCTGCACGGGAAGAGAACGCGGGAGGAGACGCGTGGGAAGAGTCGGGAACTCGTCAGGGCTGACGGGGCGGGCGCATGAGTGATAAAAAAGCACCCACGACTAATCAGCGAGTGGTGGGCGTGCGAGCTGAGTGGGGCTGGCGATGCTGACGCCTTGCGCGGGTTGCGTGGGCGCAGGGGAGGTGCTGACGTGGGACGAGTCGTGGGGCGGCGCCGTGGACAAGCACAGCACGGGCGGCGTGGGCGACAAGGTGTCGCTGGTGCTGGCGCCCGCGCTCGCCTCCTTCGGCCTCAAGGTGCCCATGCTGTCTGGACGCGGCCTGGGCCACACCGGCGGCACGCTCGACAAGCTGGAGAGCATCCCGGGTGAGTCTCTCTTGACTCCACGTCACAATCCTCTATTACGCCGGGCTAGAAGAGATGACACAGGAGCAGCACAGCCCTAATCACTGCAGTGCTTCTGTGCAGGAGGCCCGGGGCTTCAAATGCGAAGTTTAGACATTTGATTATTTCGTGTTTACGATCACCTCAACTGTGCGAGTCATTATCCGCATAAAAGTAGTGCCCATATTTTAAACCACGGGACGTGACGGTATTCTTATCCCGATGGATAGGGAGATCTAGCGATGACCTACATGTCTTGCTGGGTGTACCCACCAGCCTCTTCCACCAGCGGGCACATCTCAGCCACGGGAAGCTTTAATATCGAGACTAGTAAAGCAGCGTGATGCTTGTACAAATTCACTGGTGTGGTAATGTAGCGCATGTACAAATGTAAGTGTGCGAGTAAGGGATGAGGATAGAACAAAGTAAAAAAAAGAAGGAAAGATCGCGCGAGGCCAGTGACTCATTTGTTGTGTACAGTTCCGGGATTCGCTTGATGTTGATGGGCGAAACCATGGAAAACTACCTATCAGAGCAGCTGGCCGCTAGAATTCTTCCCCAGATAGCGGCTGAACGTGACCTAGCTATCTAACTATTGTCTATCCTGCCACCGACGAGACTCGAATCTAGGATCTCGCGGTCAGAGGCGTTGCAGTTACGTCAATTGATGCCCTGAGCCATCTAAGCCGGACTCTAGCTTCATAACTATGTCGAATTCAGACGCTGCCTGAAGGAAACTTCTAATGGCCGGCTGCTCTGATCGGTATCCGGATATCGGCGTTCCGTCGTTTCTTCGATCACTACCAGGCCAATACTGAAGAAGTACTCTCAATAAACAAGCTACGTATAGTACACGATCTTTTCTTTCTCATTATTATCCCTTCTTACACCTTAAACCTACACGTAATACTATAACCCTTAAATCTATAACACCTTAAATTTATACGTAATTGCGTCCAACAAGGTGACGGGATGGTGACGATTATATATAAAAAATATCTTCATGTAATAAAAGTCCGGACCAGTCCATTATGCTTCCCTGGATGAATGCTTTCTCGCAGGGTTCAGAGTGGAATGCTCCTTGGACACCCTGAAGAACGCACTGGAGGTGGCTGGTTGCTTCATCGCAGGAGCGTCAGAAAACATCGCACCGGCTGACAGGATTCTGTACGGCATCAGGGATGTTACGGCCACAACCGATAACATTCCCTTGGTTGTGTGTGAGTGTTATTGTACACATTACGCGCATAATGCGAATTTTCTGTTTTTTGTAGTCATGCTTTTCTTGTTATTGTAGATCAAAGCTTTGCGTTAGATGGCTTGCGAGACATGTTCGGGTAGCTTAAGTATTTCTGTTGGCTTGTCCATTAAATAACACTATTTAAGAGAATTAACTAAAATGTAATTATTTTTTGAGTTTTTCTCTTTATTGAGAAAAGTATGGATATGTACTTCATGGTGACTGGTGACGGGAAGTCCCAATTAGTTCGGAATTGAGTTGAGTTTTTTAAACTTGGAATTCCAGAAACTTCCTATGACTGTAATATCAATATTAGTTGCCCCTGACAAAATTTAATTGAGAAGACTTGTTCTAAAGATTTAAGAGAAATGATAAACCATAACTATTCCATGTACTGGCTTTACAAGACAATTGAACTTGATAGTGTATTACTTCTGCCTGAGCAAAGTAAAACAGTAAATTATGTTTTGGAACATGGTATGTTTACGTTTCGTATCTTATCCCTACTGCTTTTGTAGCTAACAACTTACTAACGTAACCTAACCCTATCTTACTAACCAACACTTCTAACTCGCAACTTAATATTTTCAGCATCCATTGTATCAAAAAAAGTTGCAAGCGGTGCCAAACATCTTGTTATGGATATCAAGGTTGGACATGCTGCCTTCTTCAAGACCATAGAAGATGCAAGGACCCTTGCTAACGAAATTGTATGTATGACCATATATTTCTTAAGTATTAAATTAAACATACAATTAATAAAGATGGTGCATTAATGGCATCTATCACTAAAATAAACTACATTAAAACCACAAATCAATGCGTTATTTATTATTACGTGTCTCATTTTCAACGCTTTAGATGATGTTACGCACATTAATAATACAAGTTCAAAAGTATTGTTAAATATGAACCAAACTTGTTATATCTTTTTATGTCACATGTTGAATATAAAAACGAAAGTTTTGGTAATTTAAAGTTAAAATGGTGATCATTAGCGAAAGTTTATTATGAGTAGTTCTGAATAACTGCAGAATGTGCCTGAAACTTCTATTCATATTTTTTGATTATGTAAGCTCCTTTTCATGTGAGTTATTCATTTCGGTCGATCCATTGAGAAATCACTAAGATTCTTTGCTTTACTCCTAGACTACATTTTGGTGTTCTCCTCGTTCAGTTCCAAAATATTACATACAAATTTTACTGATTTTTACGTTGAAGAAATTTTATTTTCAAAACATGGCATGGTTTCAAAATTACAAATATGTATTTATAAGTTTTAATTATGTTACGTTCCTTTGACTTCAGATTAGAGTGAGTCGAGAATTTGGTGTGACGACAAGAGCAATTATATCCAAGATGGAGAACCCGGTGGGAAAAGGCATCGGGAACTCTCTGGAGGTGGAAGACGCCGTTGAGTGCATGAGAGGGAATGGAACCCACGATTTAGTCGAACTTGTGGCCATTGCAGGTAAATGAAAGATCTTTGAAGGTGAACAAATGAGTTACAAGATTGGTTACATGAATTTCTGGCATTATCAATTTGTATTTGGGACACAAAGATAAAGTATTTAACTTTTTAATTGAATCATCCTTTACTCAGACCCACGTTTCACATATGTGTATTAACATTTATACGCTTTTGAAAAAGAATACTACGTGTTTTTCGTGAAATGGTAAAAAAATTGCGTTTTTCATCTCACTATCTTTCTTGGGATTGAATAAGTGATTGTAGTCACTGAGCTGCTAAACTGGGCTGTAGGATGAATGGTTCATCTCCTTGAAGCCACAGTCCTTCCCAGCATTCTTTGTAATCAGGGCAGTAAGCATAATGCATTGTAATAAATAAGTTAAACACCAAGAGATTTCACGCACCGCATGCAACTCAAGTACCTCTCTTCACAAAATTGGGTGAGATGATGCAAACGTATAGCATTACAACAATGAAAGACTAGACTATCTACTGTTGAGAAGGTTTTCCCATTGATGAGCGTTATTTGGTCAGGCCGGAAATTTAAGGAACCGCTTCTGTACACATCAGAGCTTCACTTTCGTTACTTGTTACCGAGGACTGAGATTCGATTTTCGGTAGTTCCGTCTGAGATGGCTCAGTAAGAGCAACTGCTACCGCTGCAGCTTCCATGACCGAGAGATTCTGGGGTTCGAGATCCGAGCTGATGCCTGGCGGAGAATTCCAATGTTCTTGTTGGTAGATTTCCGTGGTTTCTCCGACCAGTGCCAGAACAGTATCCCCACAAACGTACCATGGACCGCTCGCGATCTTTCCTTCCTCGTCCTTGTCCCCTCTTCTTCCATTACACATATACACTCACACGCACCCACATTTACAAGCGCACTACCACACATTTTGGGAGACAGGTCTGGAGCAGCTTACAGCTTATTTCGCCTGGGGCGTTGCTCCGCTGCGGAAGATTACTGGAGGGGGAAAGATCGCCAGGCCGACGAGAAGGTCGGCGGCGGGTCTCACGTTTCACACGGGGAGCCACTGTGAGTTTCCGGATTTCACTGGATCGATGTAGAAATTATATGACACTCTCAGAAACACGAAATATTCGTTTCGCCATCTTCCTCCATTTCTAGTAAAGACAAGGGAAATTTGTTGTTTTTGCGAAAAGATCCCATTTCTTGATTCAAAAAGGTTTCCTCTTCTTCTCTGAGCAATACGGAAGCTGCTTAGGATATGTTGATGCAGAGTAACTTTTGAAACTTCGTAGAGTGGAAACATTTACTTGTAAGAATGGTAAATGCATGGGCACTTTGTGGCTGGATGTGCTACGCAATGGCGAACGAGCGCACCTCCTTCAAGTAGCCGAGTCAACCTTATTAATGCAACACTCCGAAACAGCATTGAGGATGAAACTAGCCTTCAAGCTGGTGGTTTCTGCTATATACAAACAGCAGAAATAGAATATCAGAGACTAATAAATATTAAGCCTCAAAAGATGAAAAACATTCATCTCAACTGCAGTTTAATAATCACAGTGTTTATGCTAATGGTTCTAGATGTTACAGAGATACTCAACATTATATATATGTATATAATTTTTTCCACATTCAATATAGAGGTGGCTTACACTTTAAATTTTGAAACAAGTTATATGGTAAATTTTAACACTTTGTGCCCCGCACGTGTCACATGGGCGTCAAGGAAATTTCGTGAAGCGATGGTGTGAAGACTTTTTGATTTGGGGACCTGCTCTACGTTGTTCAGGAAGAGGCCCCCGTGGATAGCTTTCTCCCGTGCCCTCGTAGTACTCTTTCAAACAAAAAGCATAGAGCATGGGACGCGCCAATGTCGAACGTAGCCTCTTATATACCGCTAGAATTTAAAGTGCACGACGTCAGGCGGAATGGATTATCCCAAAACAGTTTCATTTATTAATTATTATTATTATTATTATTATTATTATTTTATTTGCTCATGTTTTATATTTTATTATTAATATTGACCTTTCGGCAATTGAGAATTGATTACGGTGATGTATTTCTTAAATTTTCTTATTCAAAAACAGCTGATTCGCAAAGGGCGTTTGTGATCTACAACTAGGATGTGTAATGTGTGGATTTAATGATTATGTGACAATTGGAGATAGATTTATTTGAGTGCGTAATTTCATTTTTTAAACAAAATATCATGCACTAGTGTATGATGTCCTATTCTACGAAAATATTCAAATCAAATATTCTAAGAAAGAGAGAAACATTGCAAGTTAACAATAGTCCTTTGTTTTTTTGTTTATAAATTGTTTCAGCGTTACCTAATTTATCTTAATTTATTTTGGTAACTTTTTGACAGAACTATATTATAATTTTTAGAACAGGAAAGACAAACTTTGCTGTTTTAAAAACTGCTTAGAAAGGTTTGGCTGTTTACAGAATTAAATGAAAGTGTTTTGGTTTTTTGAAGAAGACACATTTTTAATAAATAAACTGCTGTTAAAAACGAGTTTGAACATTTTATAAAACTACTAACAACATACCCGGCGTTGCTCATTTTTTTTCATATTCAATACTTGTGAAAAAGAAAATGTCTCCGTGTCTCTCTCACTCTGTTTGTCTCTCTCTGTTTGTGTCTCTCTCTGTGTCTCTCTCTGTTTGTGTCTCTCTCTGTTTGTGTCTCTCTCTGTTTGTGTCTCTCTCTGTTTGTGTCCCTCTCTGTGTCTCTCTCTGTTTGTGTCTCTCTCTGTTTGTCTCTCTTTGTTTGTGTCTCTCTCTGTGTCTCTGTGTCTCTCTCTGTTTGTCTATCTATTTGTTTGTCTATCTATCTCTGTTTGTCTATCTATCTCTGTTTGTCTATCTTTATCTGTCTCTCCTGGGCCCCGCCCTGCGTCACACGGCTACGCAACAATGAAGCCCAGATGGTGCGAAGTTTGAATGGAAATTGAATTAAAATGTAACGCAATTTTTTCTGCAGTGTCATCTAGTAAAGTTACGGCAAAAATAATAGGACATAAACCTTCTACGTGAAAAAAAACGTTGATTTGCCAATTTTCATGGAGATCGGTCACACGATGTCGGAGTTCACTGCTCTGATATATAACAATATCCAATTATATACGTAACAAAGTTTTTCGCGCCGACTATGGGCCATGTCACACACACTATGGGCCAAAAGAGATCACTGGATGTCATTGGTTAATAAAATGTATACTTCGGATTCAAGTAACAAAATATTCTTCTCATTGCATCGTTTGCGCTCGAGACTAAGTATGGTGAATTGAGCTGAACTGCAACATATAAAAAATCCAAAAAATATTATCCGAAATTCGTTTCTGTAGAGACTGAGATGGCACGTTAATGTGTTGGGTTTAATCTTCAGAATTCACAGTTCTAGGGGGCTCGAAGTATTATAGCAACGCAGGACATTTGTATATGATTTGTATATTTTCTCAAAATGGAACTACTGAATATGTAGGAGATCGCGTTTAATTACATATTTTGCCTTAGCGTTTCCAACACAAGTATCCCTCTATTCATAGCCATTGAGAAGCCTCATAGTACATTAGTAGTAGCAAAAGTGAAAGTAGTCAAATCAAAAGAAAATTTACTAAATATGATTCAATATTTTTGAAGATGACTTTTTGACAGCCATGAACATCACGTCTTTCTTCTTGTTCACTGTTATTTCGTTTTCTGTTGTTCTGTAGATTTATTAGATACCACTGACAAACGCAGTAATAGCGAATACTTCAAGTGAGATCGCTCACTGGCAGCATTACCGTGGCCTCTGTAGTGTTGCTAGGTGTTTCGGTTCGATTCCCACTAATGACTAGGTCGAATTCAGCCAACACCAAATAAATAAATAAGTACGGACACACCAAATAAATAAATAAGAAAATAAACAAGTAAATAAATGAGAAAATAAATAAAAAACTAAACAAACACTATCTAAAATTGATTTGAATTAGTTTGCTTTCTAGATACTAGTAGTCACATTATATAGGATTTTGACACCAAGTGTACAAACAAATATTCACAATATTAAAATGAGACATTTTTCTTTCAGGTGGTCTGATTCTTCAAGAAAAAAATCTCGTTAATAGCTTGGATGAAGGCAAAGCTTCTATTATCAAGAGTCTCAACGATGGCAAAGCCCTAAAGTGTTTTCAAGACATGATAACGTGCCAAGGTGTAGATCCAGAATTAGCTGAAACTCTGTGCAAAGGATACACATCAAAAGTCTTGCGCCACGTCCCCCAGAGCCAAATCACGCCGATGAGAGTGGCGTCGAAAGGTAATTTTTCTGTTTTTTTATTTACTCGCAAGAGGTCTCAGAACTCTTAGAAATTTAAGTAATTTTGAAGTGTTAGAACTTCGTCACTTTATCTCTGAGTGATATCTGCCTTGTACATTTTGTTATCTCTATCGATATCATTTCTTATATAACACTTGACTTTTCCCAAAATACTTATATAAAAGTGTAACTAGTGACGACTTATTTATTGGCTATTCAAATTTTACTGGTAATCGCGAATGTCTTGAAGTCGTAATGAAAGTCTAGAAACAGTTATCCATGGTAGAAGTAAGGATCTGAAGGAACTGAAATGTTTGATACAAGATTGAACACTTTATTTCTGTAACAGGGACGATCACGAAGATCGATGCTTTGGAACTTGGGACTGCCGTGTGGAGACTAGGAGCAGGACGTGTTAATCCAGACCAAGTTATCGATTATCGCGTTGGGATATGGTTAACGCATGTCGTGGGAGACCAAGTTGCTGTCGGCGATGTGTGGGCAGAAGTGCACCACAACAGTCCCGAACTCCATCCCGACATTCAGAAGCAAATTGAAGAGGCTATAACGATTGAACCTGGAAAACTTTCTGTAGAAAAATCTCTAATCATTGAAATAATTTAAACAATAAATAGAACGTTCACGATTTAAATATTATTTCTTAGTTCAATAATTCAACATATTAAACAACATTTGTATTTTGTCACCCGATTCATATCATTTCTCTCACAATTATTGAGACTCGAAATTATTTTATTCACATAAATTGATAAGCATCTTGATACAAATGCTTGTACATATTCAAAGGAATCAGTGAAACAAAAGTGGAACCAATACCACTTTATCAAATATTTTACAATGACATGCACATACGGCTAGACAAAAATCATGTACAACATTCTATTTAGAAATATGTATTTATTTTCAATATTTGTATATAAAACAAATAATGAAAGTATTAAAATTCTTATTAATTGATATAAGTATTCGAAAGTAATGAACATCTTTTTAATGCTCTGAAAAACGTTCTTTTTAGATAAGTAAAATGTATAATAACATCAGGTAAAGTACGTGAAATAGCCATACACTTATTACACTAACACTGTATCTCTGGTACTGAATGCTGAAAGGAGTTTTTTTTAATACAACATTCATTTACTTTTTAACCTTCTTTCAAATATAAATTATGAAACTACATATTGTTTATCAGAAAAAGGACTTAAAGTTTGTTGTTGTTGCCAAGCGATGTATGGGAAAGTGATTTAAGATATAATTGGAAATGAAACATTAAATTCCTCATTCTCTAATTTTACCAAGAAAATACTCAATCTTGAAAACTTCTTGAAAAGGGTCCTACTGGCGAAATATTGTTTAAAGTAATGGGATTATTTCAAAATTTTTAATCTGGAATTTTCTTGAACATTGAAAATTTAAAGTTGATGAGAAAACTAGAAGTATTCAAAGACCTCTCGTTTTGCATCACTCAAAATTCACCACTTTCTTATTACTCATATACATTCTCCAAAAACATAGAATTACAGGAAAACATTAACATGGCAGTGAAATACAACAGCTGATTGGGAAATTTTCTATTATAATGGTCGCTACAAGATACAAATATCATGGAAAATTGAATAGTAAATGACATATTTAGTGAAACTGCATTGTAATTGTTCTATTTTCAAATTTTCATTGAATGTAAGTAAATTTTGAACAAAGACTTCATATTCAGCATGTTTAATATTAAATATACGGAACATCAGTATGAAATTAAACATTCTTTGATAATGTTAAAGTAATTAAATTATTAGTGAACAACTTTCATTATTTCAGAAATATAATCAATAGCAAATACAATCGTTCACTCACTCTGCTTAAGTTCTTCATACTTCCGCTATCAAATAACCCTGTACAATCGAGCAAAAATCATTGCATTGAACTATAAACGTTTACTAGATTAAATTACAGAATTTATAACAGGCAAACCTACTCACACCGTGTTTTGTACATTATAAAATGCAAATGCATTTGCAGAGGTTTGGTCCAGATCCCAAAAGCATCATGTACTCTCTAGCTGATGGGCAAATTGTGCATTTTTATATACCACTTCTAAACTACTGTTAATTTTGGTGTTTAGTTATTGTGCACCAGTACATTCTCATTAAGAATGAAACGACAAAACTTTATAGGATTAATGGGGGATATTTACATTGAACTAGTTCATTGATATCACAGGAAAATCTGTAATTTATATAAAAGTATTATTCAATATTTTAAGTGGATTTTGAAATAATAAAGGAAAATTAGAAATACATTTTAGTTCGGAAGGGTTTCCCAAATTTATTTTTACATTTTGATAATCAAAAATCAAGAACGTTCCATCAACTTGTGAGATGTAGCCTTTAAAGAATTGTGTCAATGACACTTTCAATTATGTGAATCAAAGTGAATGCAGTTAATTCATTCAATTAATTTCAATGATTTCCCAAACATGCATTTTTTTATTCAATTTGTATGCTAAAACCCTTCAGTAATACAAAATAAGTATACATTATCATAATGAGAATATTACATACTTACTTATTGTAATACTGATAATCTTTTATACAACCATTTTCTCTATGTTATGCATACATTTATTTTGTAGATATTGCCATAGAAAAATGAAAATCTCTTTGTTTATAAACTATGGTTTCACAGCTCAATCTCACATCTGTTATTAATCACATTCAGTGCAGTCATATTTAGGATAAAATATTTTTGGTCTGACACTGTTCTTAATTTTTGTCACAAGTGACATTTGATTTATCTTAACATAAAACGTTTTCATGCAGTAGTAAGAGAGAAACAAGAAAGAAACGGACAATTGCGTGTAAGACGCATACCACATTACGCGGACCAATATGATACCTTGTCAGAAACCTGGTCTTAATGGTGCTTTCAAACTCGACTTAGTGCTTTTATAAAAAAGGACAGCTCCAAAAAAATGGTACGTCAAAAATACGATAACGTGATTTTTTATCGTAATTAATTGATGGTCAGAAAGGAGAAAGTCAAATCGTCATTATTTAATTTTATCAAACAAATAATTTCGACTTGAATGGTTCCTTGAAATCACTCGATTTAATAGCGATTGCATGGAGTTGAAAAAGAAGTTTGAAAAATCAGTGATTGAAAAAAGAAACGCTGAAAACAGGATTGTCGAAAAGTTAGAACGCCCGACAATACTATAGACTGTAAACATACACTGGTTTTGGAATAAAGAAATTCGGTATTTTTTCCGTTCCATTAACATGTTTCAATCTGAAGATGTTATTCAATACCTAACCCAACACACTTTCTTTGCCAGTGCCCATTGAGTAAGCACAGCACACATTTACGAAATACTTCCACCAAGCCTTATTAACAAGTCTTTTCGTTATAATAATAAGAATAATACGAAGTATACTACTAACAACAACAATAACAAATCGAGCAGCATAAATTGCTTTAATCAAACCATCACCAGCAAATTACATTTCTTTAATGACATGCGATTTTTTAGAGTTCAAAATAATTATATATTTGTAGCATTGCTTTTTGAGGGTCTAGACGCGTTTCACGCCAGTGAGGATGCTGGAAGTGCTATTTTGACTTCGTAAAAATTCTGTATTATGGTTAATGCTGTCATATAAATCATATAAAACTAATTGAAAATAGTAGTATTTTTGGTTGCGAAGGTGAACGTATTTATAGTTTTAGCTTGTTCAGTTACATTACGTAATACAAGATGAGTTTACACAGTTGACCTCCCGAGTCTATTAGCGGCGCTTCATGTTTCAGAACAGTGATTGTCTTGCGTGTGGTATACCAATGAAATGCTCGTACAGCCGCGGCGATATTCGAAAATTTCGCGATGCCCTATCCGCGGACCCTTGCCTTTCAGGACTAAACGGTAATAGCCGTTATTAACGTCATTAGACCGAAATAAAGTAAATAACGAACGCTGTTGAAGTTTAAAAAGAAGCGATAACCAATGTAACAACCAAGTTCGTTATTTTTTATATCGGTCGTGTGTTGATCGAAACTTTTCGTAATACCATATTCTCAGGAAAAAAAATGGTATAAATAAAAAATATATTTTTTGCTTATCGGGCACAACGCATTTGTTTCGATTGTTCTTAACGTCTGCAAACTGTTAATATTCTTAGCGAACACTGGCAGTTAAGAGTGACTTTTCAATTCTTCCCTCAGGTCGATATTAATACAGTATTACGAAAAAGAGTTGTATTGGAAATATTTAGTGCCACATGATGGTGTTTTTGGCCTGAAATGTCTCATCCTGAATAGCTCTCATTATCGTTGTACTGTAAACGCAACACCATTATGACCATCGGCGTCACTTTTTTCAGGAGGAAGTTCGAAAGAACATAGAAAATCCCATTTCTCTAATTTGAAATTTTCATAAATGAAAGAGTAAGCTTAGTGTCTAAGGTGTCGGATAAGTCAACTCTTGGAAAGAGAAAGTAAAATTTAGTGCCATAATTCAGTGACACTTTCATTTGGAGTTCAAGAATAGTTCAGACATATCCTACAGTACAAACAAATGAAAGACGAGGATCCCCGAACTATTTAGTCTCTTCCATGAACCGTCCCGACTAAAATAACTTGTAATTATCAAAGTACCTCTTCAAAAACTAAAGCATTAATGCTAATGAGATTACCTAACCTTTATTAAATTAATTAAAATTTCATTTCGAAAAAAAACTTAATGAAAAACGCAATGTATTGGTATAACTGATCCCAAGACATAAACCAAAGATTCAAATAAAATATGAATACATTTGAAAACAAACGATTAGACGCTGAACACGTCTTGCAACTATGGAAACAAAACAAGTTAAACTCTACGACGGTTTATTAGTTTTAGGACAAACATGCCGGTTCAGTTGGCGATAGTCGCAATTTTTCAAACAACATGAAGGAGTCATTCCTTCATGAATCATTAGAGGTCAATTCGAGTCGCCGACGCTTACGTGAACTGCTGTTATGATTGTGGCGAGCACGCAATTTACGTTTTCTTATTATCTGCAGCTCCTACATAATTTCTGTTGCTAGCACTCTCACCAGCACGATTCCACTGCGGAGAGACTTTCGTGGCGCACCGTAGTTGCGGATAGCAAACATTAGCTGCCACGATCACTGGAATGACTCAGAATCCAGGTGCAGGCGGAGCGCGTAGTCTCACGCGCCAGCACGCGCGCGTTCGGCTGATGCGCCATACCCGTAATAGCAGCGAGGCGTCGTCTCCTAGCACCAGAGCAACTCCCCTCCGTCATCAGATTGGTCCGCGAATGGAGGCGCCCGCAGTCTCAGTTGCGCATCAGCCTCACGGCCGGTCCACGTTCGCCGCGGTGCATGCGCCCGTGGTCCCGCTAGACCCGTTCTTTGAGGGTTTCTGAGCCATCTTAACATTCATCTGTGATTCAAAGGTTCTTACGAATATTTAAAATGATTCGTTTTTATGTCGATCTTGACTCGTATTATAAATATATGTGGAGAATTCAGTTTCCGCAATCACCTATAAGATACAAACGCCCTGAAGCTGGCCGAACAAATGACCGCACCTTAGCACTGCAAAAAAAGCAGACCTACACTCATGATTCTCTACCTATATTTAAAATGATTCGTAGTTCGAGATAGAATTTTGTTGCTAATATGGAACTTTACAATCGTATTTTTAATCAATTCCCTAAAATATTCCTTTACTTTTTTTTCTCGATTTTTAGAGGTTCTGCATTTCTTACACTATAACATTAGAAGGGATAAGAGTTTTGAAAGTCTACCCTCTCTGGCCGCTATGTTCTTCAATTCTGAAGTTAAATTACTTGTAATTCCAAGAATATCTATTCGCTTAAAGCGAGCAGTCCTTCACAACCTGCCGCACTTTGGGAACTAGAGATGTTATGACTAGAGAATTCCCTTGGAAGCGGCTGGCGAGAACGAGTGCTCGTTTTGGGAAAAGTGCTTTGAGATGTAGGGCATTCACCACTTCGAACATCGTGTTCTAGTGAGTCAAGAAGTAATAAGGCTTAACATTATTGTGATAATTATTTTTTAAATAATTTCTTCCATCTGAGAAAGTATCTTGTGAAAATATACGATTCGGTACATCTGAGAATACGTAAAATGTGAGAGATTTCACATTCTTTTGGGAAGTGTATTCTAAAAAACAAGAACTAAATAACAATAATTAGTTGACTGAATAACCTATGACTCTTGAGTTGTTAAATACTTTACAAACGTCAAAGATATTTTAAATGTAAGTTCGACATGTGCATTAAGCAATTCCAATATTAAGGACGTTTGGGTCGAAAGATACTTTAAATCTGTACTGATCACCGTTTTTAACATATGAAAAATGGCCATCCCACAATGTTTAGGAACATCTAACAACGTTACATTTCTTCGTTTTTTTTAATTTGTTCAGAAATGTTTACTAGTATTACATTAATTTTTACAAGTAGGAAACATATCAGGCTCGTCAAATTCAAAGTCTCGTTCTTTTCAAGAAAACGACTCTTCTCACCCTTCAATCCAATAAACATCGTCCCAAGCGGCATGATGCAAGAAACTGTGTTGAAGTAATAGATATTCGTGGGACATATGTTAAACGTTGCAATTCCACTTTTATCAAACCATTGTCTAAAACACTGCTGTGGACGATGCCGAAAACCACTATGGGCGGGACCTGTGTTCCGTGTGCTACAGTGCTGTTCAGGAAACCTAACGGCTCTCGTTTTCACAGCAAGTGATTATGGTTATATATTTGTTAAAAAATCCAGATTTACGTTTATTCATTTTATACAACTCCATTTTTTCCTAATTGCCAATTACAACATTTTGCTTTCACAATTTGTACCGCATGTCAGATAACGCCACGTTGGGAGTAGCGCTTGGATACTCTACATTGGGCAGCACGAACGAAAGTCTGTAGGTAAGTCACATAATGATTTTATATCAAATTACCATCAAAAATTTGTTATTTCAAGCTCTTGAGATGCATTTAACCGTTTTTTCCTATTAACGTAAGAGAAATACCGATTGGTTGTTAGAAGAAAGATACCGGTTGGCTGAAGGTAGGAAAATTCAGTATGTAAGGTTTGCATAAGAAAACAACAAGATGTGCACCTTGATTACGAATTTGAAGCCCACATTTTCCACAGCAAAAGAAGTATGTGCTTCGAGCTGAAGTAATGACTACTGACCAATTTGTATAGTACGGGCGGCTTTGTTCCGTTCCTTTTCTCGCGCACTGTACAGAGTGAAACATGAAACTTCAGCACCTCCTGCAATTTTTGAACAGTTGAAGTTATTGTAACGCAGTTTTCACAGATGTGTATGAGGGAATGGGGCTATTTTATGCATTTGAAGGGTTGCGTCAGAGATAGTCATAAGCTACAAAATCACCTCTTGACAGGAGAGCATTTTGAAACTGTGTATCGAACATATTTCTAACCTTCGCAATGACGCAGAGAAGAACATTGACTTATGACTTCATTTGCCGCTGGATATCAGTTACATCAAGAATTACGACACTTCTGCCGGAAATCTTCTCTACCGATAAGAAAAGTGAAAACCGTCAAGAGTGTGGCTTATAGCTGTCTCTGACGCAACCCTTCATGCATTTATTTCTATTTCATCATTTGTATTTTACGAGATATTGACATAACTTTGGTTTTTTAAAATTAAACTATGCATATTTTTAGTCTATCTTGACGAGCGTAAAAAGACAAATCCAATGATATACATATTGTCGTCGATAAGCACATTTTTGAGCAATTTTGATGTCTTTCGACTCGTGTTCAACGGATATTGTAACGCCCAATCGGGGCTAGCAAGAAGAGCGATGCCTGACTTTGAGTTACTGTTACATTCAAAATATTCGTTAGACACTAGTCGCAAAAAATCGAAATTACTAAAAAGGGTTTATCTAAAATGTGACAATGTGTATATTATTGTATTCCTCTTTTTACGCTCGTCGTGATAGACTAAAAACACAATATGTATAGTTACATTAAAAAAAACAAAGAGGCCTCAATATCTAGTAAAATGCAAGTAATAAAATGGACATGAATATATGTATAAACTTGCCCCATTCCCTCATACACATCTCTGAAACCTGCATTGCAATAACTTCTAGGGTTCAAACATTTCGAGAGGTGCTAAAGTTACGTGACTCATCGTATATTTTCCCAGCAACATTCCGTCGCCGCGAAAATAACACGGACGTATGGACCGCGAAAAAACTACTACTTTAGCACCTACCAGCCAGCCTGTAGCTAATAAGCACACACGGAGCATCCTCTATTTGAATCACGGATCTAATAGTGAGGTTTAGGTTTGCTTTTTACTTTGTCGTCCTTCGCACAAAAGAAGAGAAAGTATCGCAATCGTACGCCGGAAATCGGCGAATCTTCGACACAAAAATCTCTTATTGCCAGGCCCCAGTAACGAAGTGGATAAATCTTGTTTTTCTCTGAACTAGAGGACTAGGCATACACATAATGATATGCAATGAATATATGACTAGAAAATGATATTATAAAAATGATGTAGCAAGTAGAGTAATGAACAAGGGTCATGAACATGCAGCGGGCCGCGTGCGGGGTCGAGAAGACAAAATTTTAATGGGGGTAGAGAGAGTTTTCATTTACACATTTTATTAAAACAATAAGGGACTGATTTAGGAATTTAAAAAAATAGAGACGTTTTCAATAATCTATTAATCAGATCCGATTGGTACTTCAAAAGTAGTTTGTTGCGGCCCTTAGCCAACATTTGACACTTCATTTGAAGTCCTAAGGACTACGAGAGGATGGTATAATACGATTCAGCTGGATTCTAGTGACCTCATTTGCAATTGTTGCAGATTTTGATTGAGCCACGGAATATTTGTGGAAACAATGGCAATGATGTTAGAAAGGAAGATGGAGCAATTGCTTTAGCGATAACTTAACATCGATGTTCAAAATTAAAACACTACCTCGATAAAGGTAGTACAAGGTTGATTTGGTTCGTGGAGTTCATTTTGATCGAATACATAAACTCACAAAGCTACCATCAATTATTATTTCATACTTTAACTTTTACAAAATTTTGATTAGGGGAATTTTTCATTCACAAAATATTGAGCCCGAAACATAATCAATATTTAAAACATTGATGTTTCTATAAAAATATCGATGTTGTGAAAACGACATCCCAACCTAGGTGGTGTCTGCTTGGTGGAAAGAGATGGGTGAGCTATTGCGCATCGTATCCGACTTTAGGCAATGAGCTTCAGGCACCAGTTTGCATCACAATATCAGCGGGAATTTTAAATGCAACTAGATACCACATTTATTACGTTGTTACAAGTCATTGCAAAAAACTGAAGAATTTCTATCAAATATTGCATCATGTACACTTTCATCGTGTTATTTTTGAATGAAAAATGTCACTTTATGCCACTTTCAAAATGTACCTCAACCCTTCTCTCTCGCCATGCAACATGGCGGCCAGCGTCTGGTCTGGCTATTCGAACGACGTGCCCGTGATGTCACGTTGTTCGCGACGTAAACTGCTGCTACGCAGAAGGAGCAAACATCGGTGCAGCGGAGTAGCTCACCCATATCTTTCCACCACGGGAGGCTGAGCGAGGGGGAGTGGCGCTTATCGATGGCGCTGACGGGTGGCTCCGGGAATGAAAGAAAACGGCTACCGGGCGCGGAGGCACAGGCCGAGATCGTGGAACCGGGAGTTAAAATACGGTGGCGAAGGCAGAGGAGGGCGCGATTGACTGATGATTCACTGTTAGTGTTTCCGGGCGCGTCAACCACTAAGGTCATTAGTGCCGTAAGTGTAGAGCATGTTTTCCTCGGGAGGTAGCAGTGGTTTTCCTCTGCTAGATAGTGAGATCTGGTGCCAACCTACCGTCGGATAGAAGGACTTTCCTCATCCGGGTATCTCCCAACAACCTGGCACTGCCAGCCGGAGATAAGCTCTCCCGACCGGTCTCTCGGCATGTGCGGTAGTGTAGTGCATGTAAGTGTGTATATAAGTAAGGGATGGGGATAGGGCAAAGCAGCGGAATGAAACATCTTGCGGTCCGTGGCCCGTTTGTTAGGGAACTGCACCGGCATTTGTCTAGTGTTGACCGGAGAAATCACGGTAAAATACCGATCTGAGCAGCCGACCGCTAGAATTCTCCTCCAGACAGCGACTGAACTCGACCTGACAAGCCAGTGTCGACAATCTTGCCACCGTCGGGACTAGGGCCTCCTGGTCAGAGATACTGCAGTGACATGAGTCACCTCCCTGAGACACCTCTGGAGTGCACGAAAAGAGGTGGGTGGGAGGTCTTTACTTAGGACATTAAGCGGCCTACTTTTTCGGTGGTGGTTTTAGAATACTAGTGGGCACGTTCAAGTGTG